TGTGTGTGTGTGTGTGTGTGTGTGTGTGTGTGTGTGTGTGTGTGTGTGTGTATACAGGCTATATATAATCTTTTAAAGAAAAGATAGCTTAAAAGCAAAAAATATAAATAAAAGATAGATCAGTAGACTTTCGCTCTGTACTTTATAATTGAAATACTTTATGTATAATTACTTATCACTTTAGGGTGCAGTAATATCTAAGGTAAACAGCTGGGRAAAAGTTTTGTTATTAATGTTATTAATTGTTCAATCTGCTTTAAATTAAAATAAAATGTAAGACCAATAAAAAAGTAATTTCGAGGTCAAAGAGAAAATGATTTCTCCGCTCTGCAGCCGTTCTCACTTGTGATTGGTCCATGCGGACAACATCCTGCAAACGCAGGCCAATAGAAACGCTCAAAGAAGTCACGTGACTCAATATTTCAGGAAGTGCGAATATAGCGAGTGGTATCATGAGTTTGAACCATCCTCGAGCGGGATTTTAACGAAGCTGTAGTCTGACAGTTCACGATTCTGTCTTCGGAGATGTATYTCTACATTATTACAGCAGCTTTCCTCTGCTCCGGGTTTGTAGAGTCGCGAAAAGTGAGAGGAATATCCTCGTCCTGTAAGTSCCCCACGACCTGTTTTTAGCTCTAAAGCTAAGCATAGCTGTCTTTATATGTATTGATAACGTTCCGTGTGCAAAGCGCAAAGTACGAGTATTATTATAAAAAAAGAACAAAAAAAAAAGCTGCTTCCGCTGCAGGTTTTAGTCGCATAAGGTGGCTCCAAGGACATCACACACCTGCAGTGATTTCATAATCATTAAACTATGTCATAAATCGCCGTAAGGGACGCTGTTTTGTTTGTTTTTCTAAGCTGGAAGTCGGGATTTTTAACAAGATGCCTTCTTTTTTTAACAGATAAACGATTCTACAAGGAGAGAAAGTCCTTTTTGTGCATCGACGGGTCCAAAATGATTCCATTCGAGCAGGTGAACGATGACTACTGCGACTGCGCAGACGGCTCTGATGAACCAGGTGAAAGGGATGAAAAGCTGCACACAGGATTTATTTTAAGCAGCTTAAATTAGGTTTAACTAAATATTCAGCTTTCCCCCCCTCCTGAAGTAAAGTTTTAGATACTTTCAAACAGTTGGATGTTACAGTTAATCCTGCATCAGTCTGCCTGGCTGCTGATATAGATTTAGCTTATTTGTTTGCCTTGCAGCTTTTTTTTGAGGGTCAGAGTCATGACAAACTGCATTGAAAAGAAGGATAAAGAGATATTTCGGACCTTTTGACGTGACGATCTGTGTAAAACTTGTGACTAAAAAAAACAAAATATCACACATCACAAGCGCAAATAGTAGCAGGAGCAGTTAGCAAGTAGCACTTTCAGTAACTACAGTTGTGGT